GCTAAATTGGTACAATTGTTTACAAGTATGACTAACTTTCGGATAATTATATACTTTCGACACACGTTTTTAAAAATTTTACAAGTAAAAAATATGATATTCATAATATAAAATTTTATATTTTTTTTTTTCGAAATGATAGAGATATTATAAAAAATAGAAGGACATATTTTGTGCCTCTCTCATTACAAACAAGGAAGCAGTCCCCAGCTGAATGAGACAGTTAAAAAGCCGGATAAAAAATGGAAGGACATATTTTGTGCCTCTCTCATTCCATTTTCCTCAATTTTCTCTGCGTGAAACACTAGACAGTTAAAGCGCCAATCGCCTTCTCCAGTGGGTCGCCAATCCTCTTTGGCCGCGCGGGTCAGCCCTTCTTAGTCGATGCCGTTCTCCTCGCGCCGGGTGGGTTGGTCGTCTGGTCCCGACAGATTCTTGTTGCTTTCCTTGGTTGCTTTTTGGGTCGTTGGGCGTCGATCTCTCTGGTGGCGTGGCGGCAGAGGTTCTGCGGGGTTGGGTTGCGACCCTGACGATCTTGTTGTGGTGGTTGGGGTTGAGAAGAGTGGATTATTCCCTCTGTCCCTTTTGTCCTGGGCTCGTGGTGTGGTTGGGCTCAGAGCGGTGGTGTTGTGGGGGTTTTCCGATTTTTCTTCAGCTGAGTGGGATCGGTCGCCTGGACGCGAATTTGAGCTCGTAGGTGTTGGTTCCAGTTAGACGTGTGTTGCAGTTTCTGGTTCTAAGGCTATGAGCGAGATCTGGTCCGTATAGGTGGTCGGCTTATTTGTCGTGGTTAGTTTGCCCGGTGCTTTTGTTCGTCTGGGGTTAGGGGTTTAATCTTTTATTTTTAGGTTGTGTTTGTGTGCAGTTTGTATTTTTTTTGTGTTTCTCTATGTTTGGGTTTTATTATCCTGTTGCAATCTGTGTCTTCTCTTGTTGGAAGTTGGTGTTCCTGTTGGAAGTTGGTGTTATTATGGATGTGTTGTGGTAACCCAGGCTCCCATTTGTGATGTCCTCCGACTAGATTCGGCTTTTAACCGATTTTTAGATCTAATTATTTGTTCTTTAATCTTTTTTAAAAGTCTCATTCCAAAAAACAATGGAATGACATACCCGAAGATTGCCTAAATCCTAAGCTAGCAACACTAAACAACACACCCACAACACAACAAACAACTAGAAAGCTCGAATTATGGAGAATCACCGATCTTATCGGGATAATACACTCCCACCCTGGAGAAAACACAAGCCAAAACACAACACTAGAACACAAAACACAAACAAACAAATTAAACTAAACAAAACAAATGCCTTTCCCACAACCGTCAAACCGGTAAAATAAGACGTTTTCATAACAAATAAAATGTTTCAAACAGTGGTTCAAAACAAATCTAAAGGGTAATAATAACATCACGCATTCATCAAACAATACAAAGTACAAAGTTGTTCATGTTCCAAACAGAGAAAAATATGAACTTGACAAACATTTTACTGTGCCAGCTAAAAATTGAGATTAGGATAAACATATAAGTAAAGATCACAGGCAAGTTACACATGAGGAACGCAATGACAAAACAAGAAAGACATCTAAAGGCATGATATGCGGCTCTATTACAAGCCATTGTGACACATATTTCCTTAAAAGGAAAAGCTCCATAAACCTTCTTACGCTTTGGCTAGTTGCGGTTCTTGGATTTCTCCACAGCCCTGGGAGCTGTAAAACAGAATTACATATAATCATAACAAGTTTCAATACAATTATGCTAGAGGATAATTCCATAATCATTAACTAAATATATAATATCTTTGAAGTTTGCATTATACACTTGATATTTGTTTGCCTTCAAAAAATTGGATTTATTTGTTATTGTAACTATGAACACAAATGAGAAGATATCTTCAACACTTAGGGGGCTTTCATAATTTCCAATTTTCAAACTAAACTAAAGATTTGAGTTTAAGAACAAACAAAATCTTTATGTAGACAAGGAAAACATGAAACTCCCTATAATTTCTAGCATATTCCACTCTTACATGTGCTAATGAAATATGCAGTAAATTATGGAGTTCATTAAGCATCGCTGGTAGTATGGGAAATCTGAGACATGATCTAAAAATATGGAAAGAATTGAAATAACTATTTGATAAAATATGCATTTTGCAACTATGCAAATTGAAAAAACAAAAGACGTATTTATGCACACTAACGTGCTAGAATAACAAAAGCATAAAAACTAAACAGTGTCAGTTTACAAGGGTAGCAAGGTACTGACCTAGTCCAATAGCATCGGATCCTTTCATAATTTTGAGCCTCTTGCATGAAGCAATAAACATCCTGAAACAGCAATGTAGTGTCTCAGCAAACTAAATTATGGACACAAACATTCTAGTCATCAGTTTAATGAATTGTGAGTTCAAATGCTCATACAGGAAATTCAGAAGACAGTGAATTCAGCTCAGTTCTTGCAAGAAGACCTCATGGCCCCCATCCCCTCTAAGTTGGATTTTATACTTAAATTTTCCATTAAAAAGAATGCATCAGTAAAGGGGGGTTTTAGGGTTCGACCAGTTTTAGTATGTAAGGGAGAATACAGCAACAAAACAATACACTCAGAGTGGGTTAAAACTAAAATCTTACCAAAACCTACAAAATATGATTATTCTTCTAAAAAAGTTACATTTGCAAAATATAATCAGATTAACAAGTAATAATGAGAATAACAAGTAATAATGAAAAACCGTTAATAATCTTTTTAATGCAACTATTACTCAATCCTGTGTAAGTGCAAGCGTATGTAAAAAAATAAGTTCTATACATGAATAATAATATAGGAAATGAAAGAATTATCTAAAAATAAGTATTACATTATAAAGATTTGAAATATATATACATATATATATATAAATATATATCACTCAAAGTTTAAAACTTATATGAAAAAAATAATATGAATAAAGATTATTTATACTAACTTTATATACAATCATATTATTTTTAAAACGAAAAGAATAGTAGTTACTTAAAATAAATTAGACCAGCAAAATTAATACGTGCAATTTAAAAACCTTCACAACTGACCAAACGCGTAGATCAATGCACAAATTATGCTACATCCGTCATTGTTGATCTTGTCGCGAAAAGATACCAAAATTAAGAGGAAAATCCATTCTACCATAACACGTTGAAAAGAAAAGAGCGAGACATGTAGCTCATTGTTGCCTATTAATATTTATATATAGATGTTATAACATTTTGTATTACTAACCAATTGACAAAAACTCTAGGACTCATAATTTGCAAGTGAATTTTCGGAGGCACATATGAAGAGAGAATTAATCTACATTTCTTTACTAAAACTATTTGTCTGACGAAAAAGACAATTACAATGTTATTAATTAGCAAGTAAATTTGGACCATCTGACCTATAAATAGCCAAATTTTGTCATTTAGGCCAAGACCCTCTCAACACAAGTTTGGCCTATAGGGGGACCATTTTTATTATTATAAATTTAATTTTAACAGATATAGTTATGTCTCATTATAAAAAACAATTTCTCATTTTTATTCATTACATAATACTTTATCATTTTAAAAATTTATTGTCATGTTAAAGCTTATCATGTTGCTATTATTTTTATTATTATAAATTTAATTTTAACAAATATAGTTGTCACATTATAAAAAAACAATTTCTCATTTTTATTCATTACATAATACTTTATCATTTAAAAAATTTTTTGTCATATTAAATCTTAACATGTTGCTATAATTATTTTAAATAACCATAAAGGTAATACTCATTTTGTTCGCTAGAAAACGAATATCACATATTATTTCAATATATTGTTATATAAGCTTCTAAGTTTTATATCTAACTAAAATTTATACCTAGTGAAATTTAAATATTGCATACATTCAAATTAAGAACTTCACAATTAAGAAGTTTTTTTACAAGTTTTAGAGTTAAGTTCAAAATATCATAGACGGCTTAAATCTGGGTTTTTTCAACCACATCATCTTGTCATATTAAATCTTAACATGTTGCTATAATTATTTTAAATAACCATAAAGGTAATACTCATTTTGTTCGCTAGAAAACGAATATCACATATTATTTCAATATATTGTTATATAAGCTTCTAAGTTTTATATCTAACTAAAATTTATACCTAGTGAAATTTAAATATTGCATACATTCAAATTAAGAACTTCACAATTAAGAAGTTTTTTTACAAGTTTTAGAGTTAAGTTCAAAATATCATAGACGGCTTAAATCTGGGTTTTTTCAACCACATCATCTAGTCATAAGCTAACTAGAGCTAGCCCGTTTATCATGTTAAAAACAACCATGAAATCAATATGCACCAATCTATACAATCTTTACTGTTTACAACATGAATATAATTCAAACACTAACACTGAGTAGGGCATTTAGTTTGTTCCCTTTCTTATTAAGGCATTCTTTTCACATGGCCATTCATGTCAAAGAATCACATAGACTGTACTTGAAAGCAGACCTTGACTAGGCTAACTTTTAATGTAATCAATCACACACTCTTAGTTTCAACAACAGCGCTATAACACCTTACTAATCTGTCAAAAAAAGCAGTTTGAAGTATGGGAAATATTTTAAACTATACATCTTACAGTTACACTACTCCAGTCAAGATCATAGACTCAACACATAACATTCCATAGTCCACTTATGCATATTCCGAAAAAACAAAGAGCCACATAATCAAATAAAAAATCAAACGGGAAAAAAA